GATCATAAGGTGCCGAGGACTGACTCGAAGACCTAATTTCCACTAACAGCTGCTATACCAGACTTGTCTGGGAGGATGACGGCACTGGCTCGATACATTGACAAGCAACTGGGAGTTATTGTAACATGCGTTCAATCACCACTAACGATGCTTAATGAAGTCTAATGCACGGCGATCCTCAGAGATGGATAAACGCCTACAGCTTTATCCTCCTTTATTTGAGGAATTCACTATTTCTCATCAAACGTCTCATAGGCGTGTTAAACTTAATGCATATCAAAGCGCCTACTTCGCATTAGGAATAAATAGTAACATAATGCACTTAGAGAATTAAGAACAGGATAACATCTGTAATGATGAGATATTTGTAAAACTCAAAACTGTGGTGGTGAAGGCGTTACTCCTCGGAAAGGACAATAGAGCGTTGTTCCCCACCGCAGACACCTGCGGTCCGGAGTTTTGCAAATATCTCAGCATTATAGAAGTTATATTTCGCAACATACCTTGCCATTGAAAAACAATAGGAAGTAAATAAAAAGGTTAAGAACAGGATAACAGTACACTTCGAGTCACCTAAAGACCTTATTAAAAACTTATGCACAAAATCCTACTCGGTTGAAAATTCGCATACAGAGGCTTCAACGCCTCGTCATCATCAGCAAGCAGCAGCATAACTTCCATTTCGGAGAAATGTTGCATGCTGAAGGAGTTTCTCTTCGTGGAGCCCAGAGAAAACTGTGCCAATGCCCTTCATTTATGTCATCATAGGGAATCGATCACATTCCAGAACACATAGGTTCGCGCTTAGTGAACTGGATTCTTCCACGATAGCAGTAAGTCTTTGCAAGTGTTTACATCAAGCTAGACCTGCGAATGGAATTTCGGAACAACTAAGTCAAACACACCCAGCAGTGTGATGGGACCACCGCTGTATATTGCGGTCCTACAACCAGGAACTTCTTTGACCTAAACAGGACGATAATTCATAGACTTTCATAGATTTGAAAAGACCTTCCTAAATATTTCATTGAGTTTCCTTCGCAGTACAACAAATGTCTTTATTTCTTTCTCAGCAGACATTTACGGTGAAGTGAAGAATCTGGACTCCACCATCACCTCTAATTTTTCCTGTCTCTCCACTTCAATTTTCTCCATCGTTTGAACTTCACAGCAAAGCTTCGACGACACTTAACGGCTGTACTTATAAAACGAGTTTAGCCGAAGATATACGAATCAGCCATTACACAGATATGTTCTATGCTTTGTAAGTGACTACAAGCAGCAAGTCTGATAGATGTAAAAGTATCAAACGTTTCCAAACTTGCAACGAAGTAGTGAGGCAACACTAGTCCAACTCTTATCTGCAATGCATTAAAGAAAGTTCGTGTAAGCTGAGCAATTTAAACACATGTTGTTCTGTCATACCAAGGTTAAAGCAAAATCGGTTTTTAAAATATTGTTACGCTCAGTGCTAAATGATAATGATACCGACTGCTGCCGGACGGACTGCTCGGAAAAAACAAGTCATTATCACTGGACAACCATATCATCAACAAACACTCTGTATAAAAAAAACCGTCTTGTAAGCCTTGTTCATTTGAGCAGTGTTCAAATGAAGATCCGACTCGATACGACGAGGAAGACACCACATCGATAGCACGAAAAACTATGGACAAAGACTCAAATCATCGGCTATGAGGAAGACGAAGACGTCGAGACGCCAGCCGAATAGAAGTTTGGTAACAACCTCGTTTAGTCTGAGCGCTTCAAATACGAAAAGAAAGTCGAATTTGTGCTGAAGAGAATGCGGGTGATCGCGAAACGATGTCGGCCTTCCTTTCTCTCGAAAAGAAAACTGCATGTATAAATCAATACTTGAAAAGAAAAACAAAGAAGTAGCACCATAAGAGAATCAGGGTTAAGGGTAAAACAAAATAGATGACATGAAAGGTAACAAACTGACCGGCAAATATAGGACCCTCCTTCTTTGGTAGCATGCACCAAACGTAAGTGCCGAGCGAACTGAGCCTGATCATCGAAACTGAGCCCGGGAAAGCACAATTCACATTCTCTAAAGACTCTAGAGCTACGTGGAACTAGACTATTAGTCTCTAATGGATTTCAACAGCAGCTTCTTCAACAGGAAAAAAGCCAACCTTGGATAAAGCGAATTTCCCAATGAAGAAAAACATCGAGTAGAACGTGAATCCGTCGCCATTCATTGAAAAGACCAGAGAGGAGAGTACTGCACAGTAGAGAGGCTTGTAACGAACACGACCTTCAGCACGGATTTCACACGAACAAGGATAATTCCTGCGAAACTTCTTTCAGGAGAACTGATCTAAAAAAGTAGGGAGTCTTCACAAGTACAACAGCTTACTACATACATAAGATATCTTACGGCTAGCTGGGCACAAATCCCAAAGATCCACACACCGGTGCTCAAAGTCCTGAGCAGGTGTCGGGAAACATTTTCGGACGAGTTCTCCTCGGACCATGGAGCGAGTTATATTGGGGCACGTTTGCACATGCGCAGCTTTCCATCGTCCACTTTGTCGTGCTTGATGGGCGTGCTTATTTTATTTTTAAGAGTGGTTTATTGTTTTTGTATAGTTAGCATACGTGAAGCATAAGCATTATGTATACAAGCTGTCGAACGATGTTAGAGCTTATTGGCGCGATAGTGCGTTATTTTTGTTTTTTTCCACAAATATTTTAACGACTAGTCAACAGGCACTGTAACGAGGCATTGCTTAAGTCGCTCTTTTACGTCTTTGTCGGAGAGGTGTCGTTTAGAACAATGAATGAAGTACTGCAAGCTCCACAGTTGGTCCGTCACCGTGTCGTCAATATTCCATTCTAAATGTCTTAAGTTAAATGGTCATCGAAACGAATTTCAGGGTTAGAATGGGTATCCCACTGCTTTATCTATCCTTGCTTGGATATTTGGATGGCCTGTACTCACTGGTTGTGCGGGCCCCAGCATAATTTCCATTTTTTCGGAGTTTTGCTAGCTCAGCTATTGCAGTTCACTGGAGTCGCGAGGTCAGCCAGACCAAAGTCAGCTCCATCGTTCGTTATCACCACAGGCAGTCACCGCCCTCGTGGATCAGGGGGTACTTGCCATCACTTTATCACTATTTGGTTCGAAAAGCGAGAAGTTTGAAATGGTGATTGCACAATGTTATCTTTGTCACTATTTGAATTTGAAATAAAAGTGGATAGATAGTAAGGTTGTTTTCTTCTAGTTATACTGCAGTGCCTAGGAATGATTATATAAGTGTGCTGTGAACCACAGTGTAATCGCTACTTACTGCCTATTCTTTTTTCTTGGCAGGCTCTCGGAAAGTGTAATAAAGGGATTCAATCCCCGACATAGACACCTGCGGTTCGGAGTTTCGCAGATATCTCAACACCATTGTAGTTAAACTGTAAACGCTTGGCGGAGAAACATTTCATGTTGTGCAGATTGAAATTTAGAGGTTAAGCTTATCGTGTACGTGTCGTTCCACGACATCTCTAGTAACCTTGACGTGCTGATGATAATATTAAGTTACTTTGTAAGAATTGGAGTTTATAAGTTGAACTTAAGTCATCGGAAAATGAAGCATAACGTATCGGAAGTGACAGCAAGCCGCTTTTGGAGAATTGTTCAACCGAGCAGTTTATGGGAACTATGCTCAATCTCTATCTTTCATACATCTGCCCTAGTAATATCGTTCTGTTGAGTTCTGGAAAACATATTCCTTTATATACAATCCATACAATCTTTCACAAGTGAACTTTCTTTCAATAGGTATCACCGTCTTTGTGCGATGAAGTTATTGTATAAGGTAACTTCCTATATGTCGCTTAGCTGATTTGGTGTTTTGACTCATCTACATTAAAATATACGGAATAAGAAACGGGAAGCTACGTTTCTTCATGCATTAAGTCTTCTTCTTTACCAATAACTCCACTTATTGATAATAGTCACCACTTCCGAGGTTGATGTTATGCTTCTCCCATTTCTTGTTCGTCAGATTTCCTTATTTCGTACGTCTTTAATTTTGAAGAATAATCTGTTCCTAATGTCGTTAGTTTTGCAATACTGTGTTATATTAATTTATAAGCTATAAGTTATTAGTCGTATAAGCGTTGAAGTATCCAAGTTTCGGTCTGTTCAAGCTAAGTATTCTTTACTACTTGATCAACGAACACTGCTGGATAATAATTGCATTGACCAGCTTCGATTGTATTTTTTCGTGTCTTGTTTCCTTTTTCTTCAGCAAGCAGGACAAATAATAAAAGGATAAGCGGCGTTACTCAATCCCTGAGGAATGTGCTACGCATTCCACTTCATTAAACATCGTTGGAGGAGATTGGATGCATCTGGCCTATCCAATGACTCACAGAGGTCGACCGATGTACCGAGCCAGTGCTGCAATCGTCCCAGACAAGTCTGGTAGCAATTTACCGACCCTAAAGGTGCAGAAGGCTTGGTGAGCATGGGGCGTTGGGATCGATTCCATGTATGTTGCAGGCGCCTTCACCACTGTGCTACACGAAAGCAGGGTGGTTGAATAATATTTTTATGAAGCGGAGCTCTTCGTCATCTTGATTACACACACTCAGTTTTTTCATGGAAGAATAGTAATGCAGTCATATACACTTTTGTTCAAGAGACTCAGAGTGTACAACAAGTTCGTGATGCCCCTGCTCCACCCATAATCTTTGCAAGATATCCGGAAAGTATCTTAGTACTCAAGGTCTGAACATGATTTCCTCTTCTTCGTTCTTTGCTTCTGTAGAAGTGATCCGTCGCAGGCTGGTGCTTTTTTAGACGTAGACTCCTCAATTGATACAAACCCTATGTGAAGAAAATATCTAAGAATGAGGATTCTTTTAAATCATACGGTGTTTTCACTATGTTCTTTTCGATCTCCAACAGTTCTTCAGTTTCACTACTTTGACATAAATAGCAAAAGTCCGCGAATGAAAGTTTCTGACCTGTTTCTGTGATGCTTAATGGGAAGCTTTTGTTGATCAGTGCGCTCAAAACGGTTTTTAGCTTCGTGTTGTATTATAGTTGGCATGCTCTTTTACAACCTGGTTACGAACGATCCGTTTCATGTTGTCCATTTGTCACTTATCTTTGCTATTCTCATTTAGGTAACGTACTTCATTGCTTAGATCTTCTGTTCTTCTTTCAATTTTTTGGCTAATCATACTTGTTTTAGTGGAAGTGACCCCGATTTGAATCACATTAATGGTTGTAAAAGAGCTTCCTTCCATTTCTGAGGATTCTATTGTTTTCGATGAACCCAGCAGTCAAAATGGTATGTTCGTTTATGCTCTTTCTTCACTGAGAACAATGTAATGGGAATAGCAGAATTAGCATATGCAAACAACGCTGTAGAAGTGGGAGTAGTGTCATTCAGTGTATCCTCCTAACATCTTTGTTGTTTGCAGGTAAAGCAGTACTAAATTCATTACGAGTGGCGGAGAGGGTGATAACTGAACAGGGGAGAATCTTTAACACAGGAAACAGTGAGTCAAAATTCATGACGATAGACTTGGAACACGGACCACAAGGTGAATGTTGATCTACTTTTTTGTGTAGGAAAGTTCATAAAGGAAATGGTTAGCGTTGCCAGAAACGTTGTTGTTTGAAAGATGGCTAGTTCTTTGGTTGTAATCTCAGTGCCCATGTCGATGCACGGACTTAATGCACATCTAGTTAACGCGTTTTTGACAAGTGATTCTTTGACTCCTACGTGCTCGAGAACAATCTAAAAGGGTAGAGGTTAAAGCTCTCGGCGTTGATCTGTCCCTGAGGGATGCGCTATGCATTCGACTTCATTATGCATCGTTGGAGGTGATTAGATGCATATCTGGGCTTTACTATGACTCACGGTGGCTTACCGATTTATCGAGCCGGTGCTGCTATCCTCCCAGAGAAGTCTGGTGGTAATTTGCCGACCCCGGAGTGATGGAGGGCTTGGTGAAGCGGGGGCGCGTGGATCGGTTCCATGTGTATTGCAGGGCACCTCTGTTCTCTGCGCTACACGTGCCTCAGGGAACAATATAGCCTGCAAAATTTATACAAATATAACCTAACTCGTAGTGAAATTTACTAATTTACGTAGAAATTGCTGTAACCGGAAGACTTTTTCACTGCGGCGCATTTTTAGTTGTACTTACAATGGTTAGATTCTGTTCTTCTGGAGCTTACAATCATTTTCTTCATTGTACGCCGTTGAAATTTGTATCCTTAAGGGAAATGGTGAAAAAAGTGGGGTTTCAGAGCACTATTATCTCCTTAATTCGTCGTAAACGTGGGCGTTTATTGCGCACGTGTTAATTTTTCGTAAACTCGAATTTTCTTCGAATTCTGTGAAGACTTGGATTTTAAACAAATCTAAAGTTGAAATAGCTTTCTCAAAAATTTTTATGCACTCCTATAGCAACAAGAAAATGTTTCTTCTAATAGTCCCTTAGTTTCCGCGCTCCTCGTGTAGGCCTTATACTGAAAAGTTATAGGAATAAATTTTTAAGCACTTAGGACTTTTCATCTGGTAGGTATAACCTTTGTCTACTCCATTCCCGAAGTTTCTTAACACAATTTGATTATTATACTCGGTTTTCCGCAAATTACTGGCTGGTCTTAACCTGTACCTTCCAAGTGGAATATCTCAGCTCAGAGTGAACTTATTAATCGAGATAGAAACCAATAAAATTTACACATTTTGCCAACAAGAAATATGTTTACTTTTGCCATGTGCCCAAAATCATGCATTTCTGGAGGCTAAGTAGTTATGATGGTTTTGACTTTGACTTGATTTTCGTCATATTTTTCGCGTTGGAAGTTGTAGAGATATCTGAAGAAGTGGTAGTTGGTAGCCGAAAGATTCACTGAGTGTGATGGATGACGCAGAGTTCGGTAGCCCAGCTCGTCCAACTTTTCTTGCGTTGCTGGTACCACGTATTTTCGTGCGTTATCGTGGCGAAGGATTGCTTCTTTCTGTTGGAAGTGTGGTGATCAAGAGGTTTTTCGTCCATTTCGTCAATTTGTCTGACATAATTCTCTGTCGTAGTCTTTTCATCCAGAAGAATTTATGGTGGTTCAAAACATCAGCAAACCGTCAAAGGGTTAGGATGACCTTATTTCGACACAATTTCAACTATCCTGCAGAACTTCATCGCTATCGCACCACTGGGGCGGTCGTCATCAGAGGATCCACTTCTCGTCATGCGTTGTTGGGACAGCTCGCTGTTATATGAATACGAAATAGTTAAGAATACTCGATCGGATTAGCTGCTTGTGTTTGCTCGTGCCACGCAAGGCTTTTCGTGATTGGCAATCGCAATGCTGGAACCTCAAACTTGGGTAATTAAATCTTTTATATGTACATGTTACTTTCAGCAACGCAGATCTCGAAACATATGTACAACATGTTACAAGTAAGGTGCTCTAGAGAACAGTAGTAGAACGACTAACAAGTTGCTTTAACAAAGACACATAATGCTATTCAGTAGGTTGATGAGCGCATGAGATATAGTTAGGAAATATTCTATTGCTATGACTGCAACAAGGTTAGGATTTACGTACTCACAGTGCAAGAATGTGATAGTGATTAGTAGAGTATCTGTGAACACTGCGAGTATTTAGGATAATTGTTACCTCAACAACACGTATTAGATATGAATCACTGATAACCTTAATTTACTGATAATGCAAGAGCTTAAGACGTTAGTTCACAGCAGTGGTATTATGCCCGGCGATGTATCTGATTGGGATAGTTACCGTATTTGCTGGCGTGCCCGATAGCTAAGATGTGATATGAATGTAGGGCACTCAGCACCATCAGAACACATAAAGAATAAAGTTGCAATAGAGAACATTATTTTCTATTAGATAATGTTTATTTGATCGACTTGTCGACATACGTCATAGTTTAATTGAGAAACGGGTCGTTGTGGTTACACAGAATCGCTGAGGACATCGCTGAACGGCGGTTTCCTTGATTGTCGTCCAATTGTTATTGGACCTATTTGTCGAGCTTCTTCGACTTTCTAACATACTTCAGGTGCTCCGAAACAGTTGCATTGCTTCCGCAGGTTCCTCGCACGCTTACGCATGTACTTCTTTACACTACTGCCTTCAATATCGTCAATGGCAGAACGCCGTCCGAGACCTTCCTAATCTTCATGGTTGAATTGTTCACTGCAATTCATTAAGCTCCTCCCAACGGTTTATCGCTTCATCGTGGCCGGGAGTTGTTCCTGGCTGTCAAACTGCGATATACAGCGGGGGATTCATCCTCTGGCAGGGTCTCCCAAGATGAGAATGAATCCGGCGTTTCAATCAGGAAGCCTAGCTAATAGTAAACCAATAACAGAATCCACCACCGTCCTGGTATCAAAGTCGCACAGTGGTAAGTCTCCCTCTGATCCACAAGGGCTGCGCGTGCCTGTGGTGGTGAAGAGCTGGAGCAGACTTTGGCCAGACTGACCTCGGCATTCCAGGGAATCGAAATGGCTTAGCCAGCAAATCTCCGAAAAGTGGAGGTTATGCTGGGCCCGCACAATCAGTGAGGATGCGTCATTCAAGTATCAAGTAGGTAATTTATTAAACTAGCGTTTGACTGTACGCTACTTAACACTTCCTTGGCCCCTACCTCATTAATGTTTCCAGCCATTTGCACTGCGAATATCCAAGTTTGAATTCATGGAGTTAGGTTTGTTGAAATAGCTGTTTTGACTTGTGAAATCCTAACCTGTAATATTTGTCAACAGCACTGTTTTGCGTTATTTCCAACTATACAAAGCAAAGGTACATAAAATAAGCTTTGCAGTAGCACATAATAGTTTAGCATTCCACGAAAAACTTTTGAAGAAACCACGATGAAACTGAGATGCTTGCAAAACTCTCGCATGGTGTGGTGTTGGGCTCGTTAGTCCACGGAAAAGGTAATACCGCGTTCTTTTCCCACCACAGACACTTGCGATCTGGAGTTTTGCAAATATTTCAGCATCGTTGTGGTTGTGTCACACATAATACCCCACCGTGGAAAATTGTGATAGGCAGTAAGTAGAAAGTTCATATTGCTAAGAGAAATCGTTTATAAGAGAAATGAGGTTGAAAATCGGACATTAATTTCCGAGCAACCTAGTAATTTCAAACCAAAAGATGTTCACTATACCGAGCTAATATAATCTTCACCGCTTTTTTTAGTAGGCACCAGACAACAAGTTCATTTGTAACAGTTCGAAAGGTCGGTTAAACTATTGAGTCAACATCTGCTAGGACGAACAAATTCTTTTTTCTTAGGACATTTTTTGGTTGACTGACACGAAGTTTTAGCACATTTTCTGATTTTCAGTGCTGTAGAAACCTTCGTGAGAAATGGGTTTAATGGGGAAATGGAGAAAAAGGCAGTAAATAAAAGAGTTACGAATGGGTTTAATATTATTGTGTGCTTCATGTCATTCATTATTGGTAGTAGAAGTTTCCTCTAAGCAGAGTAACGTTTTCTACTTTGCAGCGTTTCGTCCTCGTTCTTCTAATTCTATAATTTAGGGCTTGGTTTCAACATAGTAGGAGGTAGCGACAGTCCACACATCCCAGGACACAGTGGAATTTTTGTATCCATTATAAAACCGGACTCACCAGCTTATAACGATGGGAGGCTGTCTGTTGGTGATCTTATTCTGGCTGTGAGTGTTGTTTTCAGATTTTTTTTTTCGGTTGGGACTCACCATAATCTTGTGATGTAAGAGAATGGAATAATTACCAGTATGGGAATTAGAACCACCGTATAATTGTAACGCTTTGTAACCAGATGAACTATCGGGTAAAATGTAAGCATTTTAGAGTACTACGTTTTTTTTAAAATGAAGAAGTTTTCCACTTTTCTTGAACAGTTCATTTCGATTGTTCTCTAGCAAAATTTTGATAGTTTTGATGCCTCCCAACGGTTTACCGCCTCATCATGGCCAAGATGTGTCCTAGGTGTCGGGTTGCCATGTACAGTGGGCTGATTCGTCCCCACAGCAGGCTCTTCCAAGATTTGAGGGAGTCCGGTGTTTCTATTAGGAAGCCCCGATAAGAATAAACTAAAACCGTGACTCACCACCGTCGTGTTATCAAACTGTCGCATGGTGGCAACTTCCTCTGATCTACAAGGGCGGCGACCTCCTGCGGTGGTGACGACCTGAGGCAGGCTTGAGCCAAGCTGAGCTCGCGACTTCAGGGAAACACAATGGCTAAACTGGCAAAACTCGGAGAAATTGGTGATTATGCTGGGGTCCGCACATTCAGTGACGACGGGCCATCCAAATATCCAAGTAAGTATTTCTGTGTGAGCAAAGATGTGCTGGTGTAGCGATCAAAATGCATATATCTTCAAATCATTGAAATCAATCCAAACGATCACGAAAATTTCAAGCACAGCGGTTATATTAGCTATGTTACCATGTCAAAAATCTCTTTCAGGTTAATGGAATTGAGCTCGTTAATAAAACACACGATGAAGTTGTTTCTATTTTCCGCTCACAAACGGGTTCTATCGAACTACTTGTAGAAATCGGTGCTGAAAGTAGAGTTTTGAACGTAAGTTTGCCCTATATAACAGCTTTGATGTTTAATATGATACATTCGAAAGTATTTCTTAATTGATTTATCGTAATATGATATTACCTATTAGGAGGATTTGGTTACTGATACGCATTTGACCTCTGGAAAATCATTCCTTGTTGAGAATTCTGACTTCACAAAGAGCTCATTGCGACCGCAGATGCGACAAAGTCAAGGTTAGTTCAGATCTTTTACTCATTTGGGCGAACCTTACCTATTTTTTACTGGTAAGGTTATGCCATAAGATCGCGTTTCCAGTAACTCTTCCTTGAATAGTTCCTATCTTCTATATTAGCATATGTTTCCTATATTAACTGTTTACTTGTAACTATCTTAAACCTATTGTATCTTCTGTAAATTGTCTCTTGGCGACCATCTCAGGCAGATCCCTCGCAACAGGCTGAAAGGGGATTCTGTAACTTCTTTGTATAAACTGCTCTTTGTCCGACAGTTCGGATAGTGGATAAGCAACTGTCATCTGCATGTACTTTCCAGCATCTGCCGTTCCAATCACCTTTTCGGACCACTACATGGCGGTCACATGAACTTCCTGTATGAGCTATTCTATAGACTTCACGAACCTTCTGTGCAAGCTGCTCTGTCAGATTGTACTAGCTGAGAAACTTTTAGAACCTCTCTCTGAGCACTGTCTCCAGTTCCCTCTGTCAAAGTCCCACCGATTACAGAAGGAGTATAAGGAGCACTATTAGTCATTCACCCAGTGCTTTCAGTGACATTCCGTTGCCCCACTCTCCCAGTGTTCCAACTCCAGTGTTTGCCCAGATTCCTTCTCGTGTTTCTTTTATCCTCATTTTAATCTCACTCGCGCTCGCTCACTCAAGTAGCCATAATCAGATTGTATATATTATATTGCCGCTTTTGCTGTAAATAGTTATATCAATCAAATAAAGTCGAGCGTTTTACTTCGAGTTAGTAATTATTCTGTGCCGAAGAATGACCCGAAGTCCGCATTCCATTTCACGAACAAATACAGCAGCGAGCGCAGTGATCGGAGGCACCTTGCAATACACATGTGGTCGTTTCAGGCGTCCAAGGCTCACCAAGACTGCCTTCTCTAGAGGGTCGGCAAATTGGCACTAGACTTGTCTAGTGGGATAGCAGCACTGGCTCGACGCATCTATAGGCCACCACGAGTCATTGTAGAGGCCAGATAGGCGTTCACTCACCTCCAGCGATACTTAAAGAAGTCGAATGCATGGCGCATCCCTCAGGGATTGGTCGACGCCGAGATCTTTATCCTATATTTATTATTTGGCGCACCATATTTCTTTTGCTCCAGGTAATGGGTTGCCGCATTCAAGCCCGTTGCCTTCATATGTGAACGATTTGAAATCCCGTGAAGAAGACAACGACTCGCCTAGCAGCTGTGCCCAATCGGTGCATTCTTATTTGGATGACGTGCCACGTACTCCGAAGAGACCGATGAGTTATTTAGATCCTCGCAAGTGAGCACTCCTGTAATTAAACAGTCGTTTTTTAATTTTGATGACTTTAGTTGCTTCAATTTTAAATTTGTCAAAAAGTATCAAATGGGCAGTGGCTCTTTTTTTTTTGGAAAAAGATTGGCTACTAATGTGAATTTCAAGGTCGTTTTAGTCAATTTTTATATGGAGCACTACTCATGTTATAAATTAATTCTGTACCTGGAAACTAAGAAGCACTGTTGTCTAATTAGATCATATTTGTCTGATAAGTATCATTCATTTAAGTGAGAAGTGGATTTTATTCACAGTGCTGCGAAGTCTTGAATGATGCTTCCGCGTAATTTATATACCACTCATTTTCTCTTCTGGTTGAAAATATCGAGAGCTCCTCGCCGTACATCGCTTTCGTATTTTTGCTGAGAAAATTCTCGTAGGTGACCAAAATTACTCCACTCTTAAAGTTCGAAATAAACATCAGGTCGTAGCCAATTATATAATTTGTTGGGACATGAGCCACTAGGATTAAAACATCTTTTCTAATGATATAGAAGTTTTCTTAATAGATAGCGATATTTTGATAACTATTTGAGACCTATAAATCAGTGTTTTCTCACTTTTACTCTTTGGAACTCATAGCTCAGACAGCGAAACGATTGAACGAGCAGGTACGGTATGGCACCGTTATCACCGAATACAATGTCGATTGCCAATTTAAATCAAAAATTTAATTCGTTTACTGTTCAAAATTTTTAAAACTTGAATTTTGAACGTGGTAAAATAGAAATAGTATTTTAAAAAGGTTATACATGCTTGTAGAACGATTGGGGAATATCTGCTGCATTACAATTTTTCAAATACTCTTGTTGCTAAGAAACTACCGCTAACTATGGAAAAATCAGCACGAACGTGAATGGTATCGGAAATTTTTAAGTTTCTTCATCCTGACGGCCTGTTTACATAGAGGTTGATAAACAAGTTATACCGTACCGGGGTGAATATTAAACCCAGGGACGCATCAATTGTTTGGTCCCGGTAGTTTATTTCTGTTATGCGTCCGCTGTATTGGAGAAGCTCATTTTTCCACGTTTTTCATGACTATTACTTATCGCAAATGAAGGTTCATTTTTATTAACGACTTACCGCCACTTAACCTCAACATGAACAACCAATATATTGATTTATTTGTGCGCTTACGGGAGCCTGTCATGAACTATTTTGCGGCAAGCATTTTTCTATAACAAGTTCGTATAAGCTAATCACTGAACTAAGATATAAAGGCTTGTATTTCATTGAATCCACATCCGACCAAGCCTTCCATCTCTCCGAAGTCTGCAGATTTGTAACAGACTCGTCTGAGAGAATAGCAGCACTGGCGCGATACATCGCCAGACCACTACTAGTCATTGTAAATGCCAGATATGCATTCACTCACCTCCAATGATGCTTAATGAAGTCGTATGCATGGCGCACCTCTCAAGGATTAGGTCGACTGCGAGAGCTTTATCCTTTTATTTAATATCGATCAAAGGTAAGAAAAATAACTCGCATATTTATATGCTTGGTTTGAAATTATATAAATATGTTCTCGTAATTGATTTGCCGAGTAATCCTCCTTAAATTTTGATTTTAGTCCGTCACTTGTAACCGAAGTGCTATACGTATCAATCGGTCTAGCGGTTATTTCTCTTGGAGTATATGTGGGCTATCGCGTCATTCGTGGGAGAAGATGAATGTCGTATGAGATGGAGTAACAGATCTGGTTTATACTTTTTCTAAGTATTTTATTCTGTTAACTGTAAATTTGAGGTAATGTTGTAATCTTGCTTAGAGAGATTGTTCGTTGGATTTTAGGTCACAGTATTATAGTGTTCTTTGGAAAGAAGATTATTCATTAAGATTTTTTCATCATACATTATTTACATATACTGAACAATTCGGTTTAAAGTTTTTTGGTGCTCTGATCAGAAATCTCCGACAAGTTTTCATCCATGGTGGCTACTTGCTGTAGACGGTGTAACCGCACCTCGTTTTCTGATCTTGCGAGTTTTCTTGAGTAGTAGATCGCCACCATCTCAAGAAAAAGTGCGGTTATCAACACAATACCGAAGGCTATAAAGAAGTTTTCCATGTCCTTCCTAAAATATTGCACAATAAGTAGCAGTCGACGACGCTTTATTGTAAGACACATAGTGTCCAGAGTAGGCATCTTATATGACCATGGATCTCCCTCATCGAGAGATCTCATTCCGGTTAGTCGAAGGTGGTTGGGGGGGGGGGGGGGGGGGGGGGGGGGGGTGGACTCTCTGTTTCTGCTGCACCAATTTGGCGTATACCTTCTGTACAACAGGATGTATTCATTCATGCGTGCGAAGGTGTGTTCTCGTTTATACAGGTTGTAATGTACGAGTCAATTCGGCCAAAAGATTGCAATCAAAAAAAGGGAAGTGTATAGGAGGAGGCTAGGAGTCGCCTCCAGCAAATAAGCTCCTGTCTGTTCCAGGTAAGACTGGAAAATTACCCGTGAATATTCTCAGATCCCACTTTCAGAGTTCAACAAGCTATACGTGGGTATGAAATGTGAAAAAGGTTGACAAGTGGGCCTCATTCCCCTGACCCCGAAAGGACTCTAATATGGCGGCGTTGGATAGGGCAAGCACGGGTTGCTAAAACCTCGAGGCCATTCTAGGCTGCCTAAATCGTAAAACAATAAGGATTGATTTGGGCATACAATGCACGTACACTTGCATGCGAGTACTCGTTAGAAGACTTGCTCATGCAAGCAATAAGGATGTCATCGGCCTGGCCGAGACGAGTAGACGCCAGCTTTTCAACGCCCTGTATGACACCGGAGAAGAACTGTTCCTCGGAACAGTGACAGTAGAGGAGTCGGCGGGGTCGGTGTTCTCGTCAACACGGGTGTGTCCATGAACATCGTTTCATTCGAACATCAAACAACTCAAATCGGTAGTTTACGATTGAGGAGATGTGGATCAACACCGGCTTTAACAATCGCCGTTTACGCGCCGAAATCAAACCATGATGAATATGATGTCGAGGCGTTTCATATGGGTTGGGAAAAATTAGAAGAGCATACATAATTCAAAGCCGTCCTTGGTTTTAACTTTAGGGAACTAACCAGAAGAACGTCACACTAGCACGCACGGATTAGAATAGGAAAGCAGGTTGAACGGTTGCCTGCGTTTATCATGACGACCAAAATATTCATGGTAACTCGCAATTCTAGAAGCCCCACACCCAACTCTGGACATCTAAGTCTTCCAATGGAGAGTACCATAATGAAATAGGTTACGTCATAGTAATTCGAATGTTTTGCCCAACCAATGTCGCTGTTGTGCCAAAATTCTACACGCGATCATAAATATCGCCTTCTTCGTGCAAGACTTCACTTCGTGCGGAAAGGAGAAAAAGCCTCTAAATTGAAAAAACGAAGTTCCAAAACCACCATGAACTGGGATTTCTTCGGCTTATTCGTCGGACATTGGAAAGATGCCGTTTTTGATAACACCAGAACTTCCACTACAGTGCAGACACGCAACAAAAGATTTTAAAGGAATAGGAGCAGCAGTTATAGTCGAAGATGCAGAGGCTGGGAAAAACATTCGCAAAGTCCATCGAAGCTTTGCCAAGCATAAAACGAAGACGATTGCACCTGAAAAACCTTCCGCCAGTCCTCGTAAACACACCGGCCTGGCTCTTCACACGTTACCTGTCTGAATGCAAGGTCCCTGCTCAGTGGGAGACCAGCAAGACCGTGTTATTGTTCAAGAAGGGTGACCTACACGATATCGGCAACTATCGCCCAATCTGCTCGCTATCTGTCGTCTACAAACTTTTCGCTCGAGTCATCCTAAACAGGATTGGCAGAACACTGGATGAAGTACAGCCAGGTGAGCAAGCAGGGTTTCGAATGGGTTTCATTACGATGGACTATATTCACAGGATAATAGAACTCTCACTTTCATCGATTTAAAGAAAGCTTTTGACTCAGTTGAGGTAGAAACGGTCGTGGAAGCCCAGAACAGCCAGAGAGTCCTTATTAGAAATTTCACAACTAAGATATGGCCATTCCATAACGATATTAAAACCTACGCCAAAAGAGAGGTTAGGCAAGGCGATACCATTTCGCCAAAATTATTCACCGTCACCCTCGAGAACGTCATGCGAACATTGGAATGAGACAACATGGGAGTGAAAATCAATGGTCGGCAATTACACCATCTTCACTTTATTGATGACATCTTTCTTATAATACCAAACATTAGCCAAGCGAAAAGAATGCTTCGTAAAGCCTCTGAAAGACTGGTCTTCGACTAAATCTTACAAAAACGATGTTCATGAGGAACGGATTGGTTTCGTATGTCCCATTCACGCTTAACAGAACGAATATCTCCGAATGCTCCAGTTATGGGTATCTAGGTCTGGAAATCAATATGATGAACGACTTAGCTCCAGAGCTGAGCCGAAGGAAATGAGCAGATTGGGGAGCTTTCAAGAGCATCAAGGATGTAGTGAAGAGAACAAAGAACACCCGACTCCGTGCCCACCTTTTCCACTCAACGGTACTTCCTGCCCTTTTCTTTTCTACAACGATATTAATGTCGACGTCAAAAGAGGAGTTGGGCAAGGCGATACAATCTCGCCAAAATTATTTATCGCCACCCTCCCGAACGTCATGCGAACATTAGAATGGGACAATATGAGAGAGAAAATCGGTGGTCGGCAGTTACATCATCATCGCTTTGCTGATGACATCATCCTTACAACACCAAACATTAGCCAAGCGGAACGTGTGCTTACGCACTTTGATATCTCCTGTGGAAAGATTGGCCTTTCACTAAATCTCACAAAAATGATGTTCATGAGGAATGGGTTGGTGACCGGTGACGAATGCTCCATTTGTATTCAACGAAATGAATATCTCTGAGAGCTCCATTTACGTTTATCTAGGTCAAGGAATCAACATTATGAACGACTTAGCTCCAGACTTGAGCAGGAGGAAATGAGCGACTTGGAGACTTTTCAAGAGCATCGAGGACGTAATAAAGAGAACAAGGAATACCAGACTCCGTGCCCACGTTTTCGATTCAAAGGTTCTTCCTACCTTAATGTATGCGTCACAAACTTGGTCGCTGCCTAAGCAGGATGGAAGGTCACTCAGCGTTTTTGAACGCGCAGTAGAAAGGACGATACTAGAAATGTCCGGTATCACGCAAATGAGGGAAGAGATCCGAAGACCCAGTCTAGATTAACGATCAAGAATCAAAGACGCCGTTTTTCACGCCAAACTGTTGAAGATGAGGTAGATGGGTGGGGGGCGCGTGATGCTTATGAACGACAACCGATGGGCAAGAGTCGTTGGTGACTGTATTTCTTGACGTGTCAAATGTACTGTAGGAAGATCACCGACCCCATGGTTGGAGTTCTTTACGAAAACGCCAGAAGAAAGATGTGATGCTCAGCTCGTCTCTCGAGTCAAGCCGCAATGAGAATGAAAGGCTTACTTGCACATGCCCGAGTCACTCGATGACCAACTGGACGACAGGTGATTTTCACTCGTTACCATAGCTACTGTACGGATTACAGCAATTCCATTAGTTTCTTTCACAGTGTTTGTTCACGGAGGTCTCAGGACTTATCTTGTGTTTCTTAGGTTGCTGCTCGAGGATTTCGTTTTCCTTATGGACGTCGTAGACTGCTGATAAAGTCGAATCTCCTTGAAGTCTTGGAGGTGGCCGTGCTAAGGCGTTCCCACGTGTATTGCAGGAGAGCGTTATGGGGAGGAGGCCGAACCAGCACCTTTCTTCATGATGTAGAGCATCACTAATCACTCAGCGTTATAAAAACGAAAAAATGCTCAAGCGCCACCCGGACTCACATGCAAAAAATTCAAAGACCTATGTGAATTACAACCGTAATGATGCTGAGATGTTTGCAAAACTCCAGTTCATAGGGGTCTGCGGTGGGCACGAAAGATTCCGCATGGTGTGGTGGTGAACGCGTTAGTCCTAGGAAAGACTAAATAACGCGTTCGTTCCCCACCGCAAACACCTGTGGACCGTAGTTTTGCAAATATTTCAGCGTCATTACGGTTATATTTCACATAGTGCCCTGGGGCGAAAAAATGTAATAGGTGTAAAATAAAAAGTCAGTCTTTTTGAATGCGATAAAATGATTCGAATGCAAAAAGTACTGGGATCAACATAATGCATTACATACGATGTCGGGTCATGTAATAAAAACTTTAGGAAATATGCTAGGTTTCGGCACTACTTTATTCTATTCTATTAGTATTTGAAATAGATCTCTTGACGAAAGAGTGATAACTGGAGTCAAATTCTATCACCTATAGTGCTCTTAGCAACTCATGCACTTGATCCGATACTGGCAAAGTATCCACTCACTTTGTCACCTGTTAAGAGGACTGTTCAGTAGATTGCACTCAACTGGACGACGAAATGTCGGAATGACTGAACACTTTCGTTTTCAGGAAATCTTAGAAATGATTGAGTAGATTTTTCCATAGTTGATTTGACAGAAAAGTGGAAGAGCGATATGGGATCAACGAAATGGTTGGATTTATGTTTGGATTACACTTCACAAGTGAGTCTTCATGCCCAGTACATCTGCTGCTGTACTGCAGTGTTGAAGATAAGACGTCTATCATATCACATCTCATCTCGACTGTTACTATATGATATAACAACAGTGGTGCTAAGACATTTGCAAAACTCGAAATCGCAAGCCAGCTTCGATATAGTGATTACCCTTCCCGGGGGTTCGGCTAGGATACAATTTGCTCACGTGGAGAGGTAAGACTAATACAGAATTTACGGCAATCATAGGACACTGTCGGAGAACATTCTAGGCATTTATTAAATGCCAACCGTAATAGTTATGAGTAGTGAGACGTATGGCCAGATTACAAATTTGGGTTACCAAAACGTTCTTAAATTTATTTATCATTTATTTCCTTTTATAAACAGAAGTACGATAGGGGGCGCGTGTAACGCAGTGGTTAGAGGTGCCCTGCAATACACATGGAATCGATCTCCTCGCCCAGGCTCACCAAGCCTTCCATCCCTCCGTGTTCGGCAAAGTAGTACCAGACTTGTCTGCGCGGATAGCAAAACTGACTCGGATACATCGGTAGGTCAACGCGAGTGAAGTCGAATGCATAACGCATCCCTCAGGGATTGGTCAACACTGGGAGCTTTATCCTTGCATTTATTGTATGAACAGACACGACATTGTGTTAATCCCAACACTTCTTCCATTTGCTTTATTGTGGAACATCCGACATCCACTAATGTTTTTGGATTAACTAGCGCTGCAGTTTGCTAATTGGATCTACTTTACTAAAGTCGCTGAATTCTGGCTGGGTATAGCTTACCCTGAAAGCATGGCATGGCCATGCTGGGGCGCCAAAGGTTCCTTCTCACAAGAAGTCGATTTTTTGCCAGTATTATGATCCAACAGAGTGGGACTACTTTTGTGGTTAGCTTTGAACATTTTGATGGTGCCTTATCTTCCTTGTTTTCCGGATGCTGATGACAACTCACATTTGTGTTGTAGATTCCAAAGGTTCATCTAAGGAATTATAGAGTTGATCAACTTCTCCGTTTGTCTCTGTCGCCGTAAACATTATAGTTGATTTTCCACTAAATTTTACTCTTCTACAGTATTCAGCTAATATTTTTATTTACGAGTTATAGTTAATATCATAGACAATAAATTACGACGATCCACTATGGAAAGAACTTAAACAACTTACTAAGCTTATATTTATGAGAATTCTTTTACCGACTGCTTATTTCAAATGTAGTAAATGAATGGATCTACCTATTTCCTTTATTGCGACAATGAATATGATGATAGCTACTTTAGCTATCATTTGCGTTATCTGTTATTTTTATATTTTCTTAAGTGTTATTTTATATGACCTATCGTCATGTCTACTGTGTGGATGCCAGCACTTTTCGCATTCGATTCGTTTCCTCGTATCCATCATCCACGAAAGTCTTCCAAGTTTTTGTAGGTGGCTACGGTAGCTGCTTGAGGATTTTCATTTCATCTTGAATGTCGTAGAATGCTGATCGAGTCGATTCTCCTTAGAGTCCTGGGATTGCCGGGCTGGGGCATTCGCAACTGGATCGAAGAGAGTGACTTTTGAGGCTCGGTTGGTTCGGAGCGGAATCGAACTAGCACAATGCTTGTGATAACCGACATCACTACTATCGTGCTATCCACCCCTTGCATTATCTATAATGCTGGTAATAGTGGATTGTGCTCACTGTACACCTGAAGCCTTTAATCCTACTGTCGCATGTCAGAACTGCTTAGTAGGGTCCATTTATTCGATAGATACTATGAGCACTGTTTCTTCCCCATTTTTTGCAAAAGTAATAAAAGTAAAGAGCTTCCCATTATATGGTGGCTTGAAGCTGTGGTGCCAGTCTGTGTTTACAGTGCTTAAGAGGTTAGCAATAACAATTCGTATATTTTAGTTTCATTTCAAGTTCACCAGTTTTGTCGTTTGGACAGCGGAATGTCGAAAATCGGATGGGCTGCACACTTGGTGCTTTCGAACAACAACTGACTAACAACAACCATTGTGTGGCTGAATTCCGCGAAGCTTAGGCACACACCAGGAGGACCACCGATCAGATAGTCAGATTTCTTCATGAAGATATCAGAAGAAGAATACGATGGTTAGCGAATCACTGAAGCGTACGGAATTGAGCTACTCTTCTTATAAATGATACGGGCAAATGGATATGGAATTTATTTGCGTACTCTCGAGTCTCTCGACGATATGCGTGAAGACAGTTGATTCCTTTTGCTTGGAGACCAACATGTTCATACTGACTTATTCCTTATTCTGCTAAACGTAACCTAGGGTAATTACATGTCTTTCTCTAGCAACTTACAACTTGGGGGTAATACTTGGATATTTGGATGGCCCGTTTTTACTGGTTGTGTGGACGCCAGCATAATTTCCATTTCTTCAGAGTTTTGTTGTTTAGCCATAGTGGTTCCCTGCAGTCCTGAGGACAGCCTGGCCAAAGTCTGCCTCATGTCGTCATCACCACAGGCACTCGCCCCCTTGTGGATCAGAAGGAGATTTGCCACTGGTGGATCCTAGTGCTGGTTTGCTCTTAGATGGGCTTCCCGATGGAAACGCCGAACTCTTTATCAGCTTAGGAGATCCTCTGTGGTGATGAATTCCCGCTGTACATTACAGCTCGCACCCCGGAAGACCCAGCCACGATGAGGCGGTAAACTGTTAGGACGAACTTTGATAATATCATTATGAATTAACCACTATGTAATTCATAAAATCGTATATCTTTGTAATCCCAGTATAGTGCTTATCTATATATTTCAAATAAAGGAGATCGTTATAAAGTGCACCACAAAAAGGCTAGCCTTTACTACAGTTAACTGTAGATGGAGCCTTATTTAACTAATTCTGCATCCAGAAACAATAAGTGCCTTTTCTTTTTTTTCCTTTCCCTTTTACCTAAGATATCCTTGTGGGCCGTTGGTAGCGCAGTGGCAGCACACGAGGCATTCCCATTGTTACGTCACTACACGATAGACATACTTCATGAAGACAACAGACGAAAATTGCTTCATACACACTCTAGGTGCTTCTTAAGCGTAGCAACTTTGTAACGCAAGGAACTCGAACCAAGATATTGACGCTTGAATCACACGTCCATCAACAAAAGGTGGTAAAATGAGTCAATCAAAGTGTGTAAAGCAGTAAGAGGAACGAAGAAAGAACTAAGAACATTATATACACGTTAATGATGCTGAGATATTTGCAAAATTCCGGACCGCAGGTGTATGCGGTGGGGAACGAACGCGCTATGTCCTTTCCGGGAGCAGCGCGTTCATCACCATACCATGCGGGTCCTTCGTTTCGCCTGTCTCTCAGCTAGTTCTATCGATCTTTTGCCGTTAGCAACCACCCGTCAGCCCAATTGATCTGGGGAGCCCAAATCTGCGACCAACCCAGTTAAGCTGAGGCTGCAGTTATAATCACAATTTTAACTTATTATTTACTGCCTACTCTTTTTAACGGCAGTGTATATATTGCGAAATATAACTTGAATGATGCTGAGATATTGAGATATTGCTGATGGCAAAAGATCAATAGAAGTAGTTGAGAGACAGGTGAAACGAAGGACCCATGTGGTGTCGTGGTGAACGCCTTCCCGGAAAGGACAACAGCGCGTTCGTTCCCCACCGCAAACACCTGCGGTCCGGAGTTTTGCAAATATCTCAGCATCATTGAAGCTATTTTTCACAATATATACCCTGCCGTTAAAAAGAGTAGGCAGTAAATAATAAGTTAAAACTATGTACACGGTATGATTGTGGTCAGAATGGAAATGTGAAATACTCCTAAGCCTCGCTGCTAAGTGGACGCTTCGATGAACTGCTTTACATTCCAATATAAGCAAGGTAGGCTTCTGCGAAACAGTGTCTAAAAGCAGGCATGAAAAGGTCAGCGCCCACTTTAATACAACTATTCTAAACACCGAAACTGATCTAGGACGAAATATTTACCATCTATTTCCAGTTTTCAGTATGTTTCTGGTTGATATCCCCCTCAGCGCTTCCACAACCCCATTGTCGCTAAAAGATCTTCCTGAATGTCAAAGTACGATGTACATAGCTCTCATTGCTCATGAAAGGTGCAGTGCTCCTACCTTGATAATCAACCGCTGAAAGATTGGGCTTGCAAGATGCAAGAGAGAGCTAAATGTTTTGAGAACGACAAACTTTACAGGACGCAGTTTTGATACGAATACGATGAGCTATCAGGACGACGGTGGACCCTAATACTGGTTTATATAGGTTTGAACTCAAATAAAACCGTTTTTAAGCGAATTCCTTGTCCTTCAAACAGTTTTATTTAATCGTCACTTAGGCACACACTTCTTTTTTTTACAATATTCTAGTCAAACACTTCAAAATACACTTACAGCTACCGATAAGAAAACTCGTCAGACCATTTCCGTTAAGCACACTTATTGCACAAATGACGATTTGAATCGTGAAATATCAATAATCTACCCGTTAATATGCCTAGTTATCTGATCATACTTCTGAGGTTAGTCTTCATGACCTAGGAACCATGCCTGAACAATGAGTAGTTGTCGCAAGTATTGGATAAGCTTATTCATCTAGTAAGTTGATGCCCGAATTATGGACGGTACCAAATATATAAAACATTAACTTAGAAACGAATGATGTGTGGTAAAGGCCCTACCAGTAGCTAACTATAACAGTTAAAAAAGCTGCAATGTTTTCATAATTCACGAATAGTATGTACAAAACTGGAAAAGCTGTTATGCTCTCTAACTGCTTCTTTTCCTCGCCATGAGGAGAATTGGCAGTTCTTATCATAGTTTTCGTTTCTACAAACAAACGCTCTTGACGATCATATCGATTGTCTCGTCCATCGAATCACGCTCTCCAGAATAGGGACGCATTGAAACTGCATGCTGTGTTGTTAATTCGAAATCATCAAGAGAGGAAAAATATCTGAAAAAAGAATACTTGAAGAACTAAGCTAATATCTCGTACGGGTACTATTATGATATGCACTGCACTGACCACCTTGTAAAATAAAAACGATGAAGCTCTCGGCGTTGATCAATCCCTGAAAGCTGTGCCATGCATTCGACTTCATTAAGCATTAGTGGAGGTAATTGAATGCATATCTGACCTTTGACAATGACTCACGGTGGCCTACCGATGTCGAGCCTGCTATCCTTCCAGACAAGTCTGGTACCAAATTCCCTACCCCGGAGGGACGGAAGGCTTGGTGAACTTGGAGAGCGGGACCGATCTCACGTGTATTGCAGGGCACCTTCATCCACTGCGCTACACGTGCCAACTACGATAACCTTATAATTCTACAAAAGTTATGGCTTACAAAAGTTTCCATCGGTTACACCGATATGCCTATAAGGTGTTCATCTTGAATATAGCCACCACAACCGATCAAGTTATAATGTCCGCAACATTCCAGAGTTGACGGACGAAAATTTTCTCCTTTGCTGACGCGCTATCTTTGTGAGATAAGTACACAGCATATTTTCACCATATCCGAAACAAACTACTCAACTCCTATTCTTTGATTATTACACTCGCACGAGGCCCTTTGTATGCTAGTCAAATGAACATTGGAGCCGAGATTCTATGTTGTATCAAGCGATGTATCAAAGTTGTGTACGACCTACTAATTAGAGGCTCTCGTAGAGCACATAAGTTGTCGGTGTATAGTGTATTCCACTTCTAGGCTAACAAAACTATTACCTTTAGATGTCGGTAAAATGGTACCAGACTTACCTGAAAGATAAAAAGACTGATTCGATATATCGTTAGCCAACTGCTTCCCAGTCAGATGCACAGAGGATTTACCAGCACGGGGAATTTATCCCTAAGAGATTGATGAGTGCCGAATGCTTTGACGCTTTACAGGAAGATAAGGAAAAGGATACTAAAATCGCAAATGACTGACTACTATGAAGACAAGTAAGGCCCTGTTCGGGCCTAACTGAATTGATATAAATGCCTTCTCAAGTTTGTGGACGATTGACCAACGTTTAGGACGGCACATCAATTTTTAAGAACAAAAAAAAAATCAAAACTGACTTGAATTAAATACCACGAAAACCAAAGTAAGTATTGGACTCTTTACGATTTTAGAGTTTCACAAACTGAATGAGCGATGTATGATGCTCCGCTTTAACATAACACCGTCGCCAATATATCATATTTATAAACAGCATGGTTCGCTATGCACCTTCATTGAGCAAATACCCCTAGATTAGTCACCTTTTATTTACCGCCTATTTTTTCGATAGTACGACATTGCTTGAAATATAACTATAATAATGCTGAGATATTTTCAAAAATCCGGGCCGCTGGTGCCTGGAGTGGGTAACAAACGCGTTATTACCCTTTTCTGAGGCTAAGGCGTTCACCACCACATCATGCGAGTCCTTCGTTTCGCCCGTCTCTGAGCCGTGTTATGCACTTTATATTCTTGGAGTGTATACTGTTTCTTACCAGATTACACAGTTCTGATTGAACTGTGGTGACACTGAATACTGATAAGCTCCCAACAATAAAACTCACTTTTCCAAAAGTTCATGCGCCGCCACATGCAAGCGCATTGAGTGACTGTCGCACAGAAACTCCAGTTTCTCCTTTGCTCCTAACTCTTCCATTCTGGTGGCTACAGGATTCAAAAAGTCTGCAAGGTAAAGAAAACAACTAAACTCTAAATCCCTAATATTTGCCTTCTAATTCATATACTCATCAAAATGAAACTAACCTGTCAAACCTATAGCAAGCTGTTCTCCATATGCAAGCAATGCGGAAAGAGCCTCCATCACATCAGCTACAAGAGAGTGTTCCAAAACTGTGAGGAAGTCACAAAGTGGAGAAAGCAAATCAGCACCGAGAATCGCTGCTAGATGACACGATCGGGACGATGTAGCAGCATGATACATTACGTAAAATGCCTAAATAGCATTATCTGAAGCACTTCAGTATAGAAATGAAGCAAATATAAAGCTCTTATGCCCTTAGGCAAACATTCATACACGAGTACGTGATTAAAATAGAATTTGTTTTGTGGTTGCAGATAAAAACATTCCTCCCAACGGTTTACCGCCTCATTGTGGCTGGGAAGTGTTCCTGGGTGTTAGGCTGCGATGCGCATCGAGGACATTCACCTCCCCAGGAGCGCCTCCCAAGCAAAGGAGTCCGACGTTTCCATCAGGAAGCCCAACTAAGACTAAACCAATACCAGGATCGACCACCGTCATGGTACCAAACTAGTCGCACGGTGGCAAATCTTCCTCTCATCTGACTACCTGTGGTGTTAACGACCTGCAGCAGACTTTGATTAGGCTGACCTTGGGACTCCAGGAAACCAACCACAAGAGCTAAACCAGAAAAACTCCAAACAAATGGAAATTATGCTGGTAACTGCACAAACGGTGAAGATGGCTCATCCAAGTATAGAAGGAAGCAAGATCGAAGAGTTTTGTAGACTATTGGTATCACTTAAGAAGAAATAGGTGTCTTCATATAGTGTTCAGAAATCAAGAAAAATCAGATATACACCCAAGGCTCTCGAGTGAGATATGAGAAGAAAGTTGATAAAAATAAAAAAGGAATAAAGGGAGTAGTCTGTCCTACTAATTACAGAAATCTTTCTTTGAAGAAGATGAAGAAACCCGATTTTTCCACGTTCTATGCATGAATCTTACCTCTTTTCGAGTTTCGTAATCAGCAACCTCAAGCAAAACCGCGATTTCCTTAAGTGTGCCGACATCCAGAACGGCTTGCAGCATATCATTACCCTCTGCCGCAATGTTGCTCATGACAAAGCAAGCTTCACGCATCGTTGTATTACGAGACATGAGTGGAAGCATGTTGAACAGCAGACCACTATTGACCATATCTGCAGAGTGTTTTTAAAAATATGCGGAAAACATTTTGTGAAAATGCTGACTGAGACAATTAAAAAATGCGGACATATGAAAAGAATACAACCCGTACACTCCAGAAAATCAGAATTTCATGCGATGGAGTGAACAAACATGCGCTATAGTGGTAAGGGTTTTAAAAATTTTCATTCAAATCAGTGCAGTACAGATCAGTTTGAGCAGCAAAATTTGGTTTGGAAAGCTAAACTATTTTTGGGAAACATATGTGTTAAGATCAATACACGAAGCCGCAGACGTTTCAAGTATGTAGTTCACTCCTTGCAAGAGCAGCTCGATTTCGTTTAAGTACAATAATGAGATAAAGGAAAGCAAACTGATCCGGATTACCACAACACCACAAAGTAGGGCCACCTCGAATATACCTTTTGTATATAGGGATGTCTCTTGAATAACGTTTGCAATTGACCGAAGGCTTTCATATACGACAAATGAAGAGCATGAAGGCAGCAAACTCACAAGCTTTATCTGGATGCCAGCATCTGACATTGGCTAGAAATAAGAAAAATCCTCAAGGTGGAACGTACAGAATGCAGTAAAATAAAATATCACCTGAAAAAAGTCAGGATATTCAGACATGAATCTACATGCTCTAAGTGCATCCGATTGAATTGTTAAATCCTCTGAAGATAGTTGACGAGAAATAAGTGGTAGAAGTGGGAAGAGCTAAACAAACAAACAGTTGTTTCCACAACTAATCATGAACTATCACGACAGAACCTCATATTAAAAGAAATCAACTTCATAACGATTGTAAAGAATCGGTAATACGCTATAACTTTCACTCACTTCAATTAAATCAGGTGTAAATTCGTGAATATCCGAAAAAAGAGTGGCAATAAGAAACACTATATGTCTAATTATCACGAGCTTCTTGTTCCTAAAAGCAGATTTGCACCGAAGAAAAGAAAACAGCTCTTCACAATAGTCCAAACTTCATATGAACTGATGTTGTTGAGCCGATTCGAGGTTGGTATAAGGGTCGTCGTTGTTGTTTTCGTTGTTATAGGTCGTTGGCCGACGTTTCTGTGATTTCGTATTCCTCAGAGTCGTGCTGTTACGAGTGGAGACCCACTCGGAACGCAATAACTACACCAACCTCGTATCAACTCAGTTCGTAAGAACATATAAATAAATATATTGATTACAACCACAACGTTGCTGAGATGTTTGCAAAACTCTGGACCGCAGGTGTCTATGGTGGGAAACGAACGCGCTACTGTCCTTTCCAGGGAGTAACGCGTTCACCACCACACCATGCGGGTCCTTCGTTTCGATTGTCTCTCAGCTATTTCTATCGATCTTTGCCGCAGCAATCACCCGTCAGCGGGATTGATCTGGGGCGCCCAAATCGGCATAGAACCCAGTTAATAGTTAATTTCGCTTAGTACCCTGCCGCGAAATTATAGTAGGCAGAAAATAAAAAGGTATAACATTGTGAAATATATTGATTATTTATGCCAAGGTTTATAGAAAGTCGATCCTTTGAGTTACTAAACCCAAAGTTCAGTACCACTCCAATTTCAAAACACCTCTTTAAGGCAGTTCATTGGAACGAATATTATGAAAAAAAAAAACTGCACTTGGAAGCTATCCGCAGGATATCCTCTACCACACCACAAGTAATCACGAAATTTTTGTTCTCGACAGAGCATTCCACCAAATTAGCTATTGACCATAACAGCTGAGATAGCACTGAATTCTCCATAGGGACGGGTGTTCTGAAACGAAAATAGTAGGAATTTTAAAAGAAACTAGTTATGAACGTATTGGTGGCAATTTAAAACATATACAAAAATAAATTTGAGAACAAGAAATCAACTATCCAACCCATTTTTTGAAGATGCAGCTCGGTGAATAAGACCGCAAAAAGTGGGTAGAACTTGCCCACGGATGTCTTCAGTGAATAATCGATTTTCATGACGACGAAACATATTGACGAGTATCCAGGAGATATCATCAGTGAGATCCTTATCCCCGTGAATTAGTAAACGTGTGAGATGAGAAATCAGAGAAATATCACCCAGTCCTGACATGCAGTTCACATCTTCTGCAAATTATCAATATCCATTAATGCCACCAAAAAAGCACTACAACTAAAAAAAGAACTCTGTCTTTCCGCATGACTTTAAAGTTGACCTTTTTTAGAAACTTTGGTTTAAGAACACAACAACATGGCGTACTCCACGTTGCTCTCATCTTCAATGTAAACCTCTCAGAAAGCACCGCCAGTCCGACTGAAGAAGCAGAATGACGGTGCTGGCTCTCAGAAATTGGTAGTGGTCGCTCCGGATGTGAAAAATTCAGGAAGACACCACTTCGTTCTAGATCGACAAGTTGAGAAGCCCGTCAATGGTTATAGGAACGTTTTATAGAAATCGCATGCGCTCGAGTCGAGTTCCGACAGAGCTCGTACTCGTCATATGGAATGTCCCCGTAAGAAATGGCCTGTTGTTAAGATCGATGAGGCAAATTTCTGTACCGCTGTACACTTGTCGAAAACCTGAATGCACATCTCGTGGCACCTGCCATAAACACGTAATTAATTTACAGCACCATAACCCAAAAGTCCGGCGTTTCCATCAGGAAGCCTAGTTAAGAGTAAACCAATACCAGGATCTACCATCGTCCTGGCATAAAACTAATCGCATGGTGGCAAATCTCCCTCTGATCCACAAGGGCTGCGACTGGCTGTGGTGGTGAAGACCTGGGGCGGACTTTGGCCAGGCTGTCATCGGGATTCCAGGGAACCACAATGGCTTAACCAGCAAATCTCCGAAAAATGGTGATTATGCTGAGGTCCGCACAACTAGTGATGACGGGTCGTTCAAGTATCAAGTATCAAGTATTCTATGGCTGCTCTATACGATACCTCAGAAAATATTCCAACAAGGTGCAGATTGAGGTCTACGCAAAAAAGACCTGGACAAAGCCTGAAAGTACCATTTTTTCCTCTTTTAACAAATCGACTGAATAAAAACGTAATGAGATTTAAAACAATGAAAGTGGATGGCGAGGAGTGAGAAAGGAAGGCACTACCCGCGATTTCCCTCGATAAAAAGCCCGCATAACCTTTCAAGGCCGGTAAGAAAATCTTAACAAAATTCAGGTAACACTTAAGTGTCACATGACTGGGAGCAGGTGATAGGGATTATGTTCGACAGAAACACACTGTTGATGAACACGACGTACGTCTATAACGAAGACATACTAAGTATTTTACTATGAATTAAACCTTCCGTACACTGCGGAGGTTAATACTACCAAGACTAAGAGATCAAAATTGAAGACTCAATCATCACCATAAAATGAGAGAATGAGAGACACCCAACGTGCTACTGTAATATCCTGAGCAACAGAGACCTGCCAGAATCGTAAATCACAATCGTTGGAGGACAACCTATCGAAAAAACTTCCAAACTTGCAAGCCGATTCGGTTACAAGACCACATATGAATAATGCAGATAAAAATCTCTCGGCGTTGATCAATCCATGAGGAATACGCCATGCATTTGATTTCATTAAGCATCGCTGGAGGTGATTAAAAGCGTATCTGGCCTTTAAGATGATTCGCGGTGGCCTATCGATGTATAGGGCCAGTGCTGCTATCCTCCCAGACAAATCTGGTACCAATTTGCCGACCCCGAATGGATAGAGTTTGGTGAGGCAAAGGAGCAGAGAAAGACCTCATTTTCATCGCAGGGTGCCTCCGACCATTGTGCTACTCTACATGCGCCCCTCCTGAATAATGGAGATTACGCCCAAAACCAATTTACATGGACAGACGTAAGAGATAGGCCGATTGAGATCAAAAAGACAAAGAAGGAATGATTCAGGCATCCATGCATTCTTTAAGTGGAAGAAATGTGCGCACTAGTTCGTTCAAGCATCTAACTGTACATGAGAATAAATATACAAGAATCCACTTTATTTAGAGAAGAAATACGAACGTTAAAAATATGAAAGTTAAAGAGTTGTGAAGGAATCAGAAAAAGTAGAAAAAGGCAAACCGGCACTCTCGGCGATTTTCGAACGAAGGAACTTCAGTCCTGCCAATTCATTTTGAAGGTTCCCACTCTTAATCATATTTAACACTGTTTTTGGAATGATACAGCAGTCATCAGCAAGCGTGAACTGAAACGATCATGCCGGATTGACATATTGGTAATCACCGAGAAGGAATCAGCTTTCAAGCTTAAATCTTCTTAGGTTCTAAAATTTAAAGCGTTAGGGTTGTCCTTCTTATACCCTTACTTTACTTTTACTTACTTCTTACTCCCTTAATCTTAATTTTCCCTTACTTTTACTTACTAAGTTACTTACGAACACAAACAACTGTGCACCATCTGCTAGGATCACCGGCTCCGATGAAGATGAAGACGTCGAAACGTTAGAAAATAAAACTAATTTATCAACTTGGTGTAACCTTATCAAACAAAGAATACATATTGACTAGTCGTATTAGATGATGGTCGGTTTGAAAATTGCTCTATTTAAGTTCTTTTATAAGATAGGTTCGTCCGTCCTTACGAGGGTATTCTCTACAAAAGGCAGAGGATAAGTTATTCGTGTGTCCGCAGGCAGAAATGAAACCCTAGAGCGATTTTTTCTACGATAACTTGCTGACTGAAATATCACCTCGAAGCAACAATGAAAGTGAACTTAGCTCAATTGTACATAAAGTGAATAAGAAGAAATCGCTGAAAGAAATCGACGACTTAGATCCAGAACAGCAACGCCATTCGTTCAACAAGCTCATTCTTGATATTCCAGCCGACAAACTTTGCTCTCATTCTCATGGGAACTAGTGCGCTAACCTCTACTTCATCATTGTCGAGCCTTCTCTTGTTATTGAAAAAGTCTTCTTGTTTCTGTTTCCTTATTTGAACCTCGGAAATGCGACGCCGCTTTCTCAACTCCTCGTTAGACAGACCTGAAGTGAGCAACTTACTGTTATATAAAGTAAGCAGTAAAACAGTCAATTTCTTCTTAAACTTTCTGATTGCGGGAAAAATGACGATACAATTTCACAACGACAGTACTGGTAAACAAGAGTCCTGCCAGCAAGACATAAAAGATATCCATTGTCGAGAAAGACCTGCCGATCTACAAGTATCTGAAGTAGTATCTCAAGTAGTTATCTGAACTACCTCTGAGCTTATAAAGACTTTCATGATGACAGGTATCTGAGTTGGTGAGTACCGCTCCGCCACTGCAACCGTAGCGATCGGAAGATTTGATTTTTTGTTCATTTTCTGGAACAAATCAATATCACCTAAAATAACGATAAATAGAAAACAGGCGAATAAATACTTCTTTAGCGATGGTTCTTTAAAGAAGGTTAAGAAACCGTAAACAACGTACCTGTAACATCCATTAAGGATTAGACTGGCAATGACAAATTGGTGCTCGCTCCATGGCGTATTCACGTCGCGCTCTAATCGATACGCGCGAGACTTCGTCTTTCGATGAATTCTCACATATTTTATTTGTTCTATGCACTTTATCCTTTTATAAAGCAGGATTGTCAACCTTTTACTGCCGCAGTAAACTTCTAAGGAGTAAACCGAACAGAGCTGTGCAGAACTATAATTTCCTGCACAGCACGAATGGAAACGCTATCATTCAGTTAGTACTTTTGAGGAGAAGATTTTTCAAATTGTATACTACTTTGTTGTAATTCATTTGGTTACATGGTTATTAACGTTTGGATCTTTTACGAGTTTACCATATGCTACCAAAATTTCATGATTCTCCTTTGTTAGCTCGAACATTGCTTTAGTGAATGTATTTTTTCGGTAACCATCCATCGGTTTACCGCTTCGCGGCGGAGAGGTGTTCCTGGGTGTCAGGCTGCGATGTATAACGGCGGAATTCATTCCTCCAACAGAGCCATTAGGAAGCCCAGCTAAGAATAAACCGGTACCAGGATCCAGCACCGGCTGGGTACCAAACTAGTCGCATGTTGGCAAATCTCCCTCCGATCCACAACGGCAACGACTGAATGTAGTGGTGATGACCTGGGGCAGACTTTGGTCAGGCTGACCGCGGGACTCCAGTGAATCACAGTAGCTAAACCAGGAAAACTCCAACAAAGAAATTGTGCCGGGGCCCGTACAACCAATGACGACGGGCAATCCAAGTATTTTTTCGGAAACATTGAGCACAGGCTAACTGTTAGTCTTATAGAGGTAATTTATCCTCTAGTGTATTTTACCAGCTGATTCCACGTATTTCAAAATCGACTTTTCTTTAACCTCAGTATGACAAATCAATACGTATTCCTTCTTTGATCAGCTTACACGAGGTTGAGAAACGGTCTTTGTTCGGCAAAGGTTTCGACGTTTTCGTCCTCATCAGAGCCGATTTCGCTCATTTCAGGTTCGTATGGATCTCGTTGAAGCTTCGAATCCAATAAGAAGTCGAAAACAACGGTATGTAGCAAATAACTTTGAACGCTACAGGTCAGCGGGATGGGCTGGAGCATTCATGGGGGAGGGCGGAAGCAATGTATGTTTACAGTATCATATTATTTTTTTATAGTACTATCACATGTTGCACAGTGGTCGGAGGCGGTCTGCAATACACATGAGGATGCCTGCGTCCTATAGTCACCAAGCTCTCCATCCCTCCAGAATCGGCAGATTGGTACCAAACTTGTTTGGGACGGCAGCAGCACTGGGTCGCTACTACATCGGTGAGTCACCACGAATCGTAAGGGCAAGGTATGCATTCAGTCACCTCCAACGATGCTTAATGAAGTCGAATGCGTGGCGCATCTCTCAGGTATTGATCAACGCCGAGAGCTTTGCCCTTTATCCTTTTATTACCTCGTATTCTTGTTGAGAGCCACAAAGTTTAAGCCTTTAAGCCGAAAGCGAAAGCATCGTCAAATTACATAGTTTTGTTCTTGCCGGTTTGGGAACTTCTTTAAAACTAATAATCCACTCCGTTTATGGAAAGAGCTGTTGCTGTTTTTCTGTTTTTATGGAAAGAGAGTTATCAAGATGAATTGTTTGGAAACGAAGTCAGTGTTGGCAATTAACCGATATCTCTGAGGAAAAACGTATAGGTCACGTTTTCTATAATAGGAAAAAGGTGTTGGTCAATCCCTTAGGGTTGCGCCATGCATTCGGCTTCATTAAGCATCGTTTGGAGGTCACCGAATGCATATTTGGCCTTTGCAATGACTCGCCGGTGCCTGCCGATGTATTGAGCCACTGCTGCTATCCTTCCAGACAAGTGTGGTACCAATCTGCCGACCGCGGAGAGATGGAAGGCTTGTTGGGCCAGGAGCGCAGGAATCGATCTTGTATGTATTGCAAGGCGCCTCCGACCACTGCGCCACACGCACCAATGCGTTTTCTGTAGTAAAACAAGTAATAATCAGGCTTTTCTTTGTGCATTTGCTCTATCAGCTTTAGTTCAGTGTACATGGGTAGTCTGTCGGTTTTCTCCTCATTCGGAGACAATGCTTTATCTTGGAGATGATGAAGGGAATATCGGAATTGTGGATATAGCTCCTGTCGTATCATCTGAGCATGACCTCCACGCAACAACCTTACAATGTTAGTTTCTCTCCGTTCTTTGTTTATCACTTGATCTCTTTTTTTTATTTATCTGACTATGAAGGTTTCGTTGCACACGATGCTACGGTAATGGATGTGGTAGGAGTACCAAATTGTCCAGATCAGTTGTTGTCAATATCCGGTGACACAACTGTCAGGTATTTTGCCATTTGTTCTGTAAAGCTAGGTGTCCTACGCATATTTTTAGGCTATGGGATCTACAGCGACAGCATTCAACCTTATATTTTGGTCATGAAATGTCCGTCCGAAGTGTTTGCTTTGCTCCGGAAAACTGTCGTAAGTGATGTCTTTTTGATACAGTGAGCAGCGAATTCCAAAACTTTCTTTATAGACGTTTTTGCTACTGGTGGTCGAGACGGGCAGATTCGTTTGTGGGACACAAGAACGAGCTGTTTTAGGAAGCAAGGAAAATTATTCAAGAAACCAGTCAATGTATATAAGAACGCCCATGTCCTCTATCGTAAGTATTAAACAGTTTTTTTACTTCTATGTGACCCGTCTTCACGTCTACTGTGCGGATCCCAGTACTTCTCATATTCGATTCGTTTTTTCGAATCCATTACCCACGAAAATCTTTCAAATTTACGTGTGGCTTCAGGTGCTGCTTGAGAATTTTCATTTCATTTTGGATCTCGTAGAATGCTGGTCGAGTCGATTCTCCGTGGAGTCCTGAGATAGCAGGGCTCGAGCGTTCCTAATTGGATTGCAGAGGGTGATTTTTTTCACGGACATGTCCGGCACCAATTTCCTGACCCCAGAGGGTTGGGAAGCTTACTTGGCGCGGAGCGGAATCGTACAGCACCATGTTCGTGATGACATGCATCGTTACCACTGTGCTAACCTCTCCTATTAAACATATAGGTAATGAACGTAAGGGGCTTCTGTTCCTTCTATAGTATTCGAGAGGGATTTTTTGTAAGGTCGCAAAAATTGGGCGAAGTGTGTGGAGGAATGATGGTCGGCGTTCCTTAAAAGTTAGCTAAATGGTCACTCGTTCTATCGAACGAGGGCAAGTTAAAAATTAGAATATTTGGAGATAAAAACGCGCGTGTAGGTCGGAGGAGCCCTGCAGTATACATGGGATTGATCCCTGCGCGTAGGACTCATCAAGCCTTCCATCCCTCCGGAGTCGGTAATTGACACCAGACTTGTTTGGGAGGGTAACAGCTCTGGCTTGATACATCGCTAGAGCACTGCGAGTCATTCAAAAGACCAGATATGCATTCAACCACTTCCAACGATACTTAATGAAGTCGAATGCATGACGAATCCCTCAGGGATCAACGCTGGGAGCTTTATCCTTTTTTATATTTGGAAATATCGTGTGGTGAAGTTCTGTTTTTCTTAAATTGTTGTTAAGGTTTTCGAAGTACACCTAAAAGAAAGTCACTGTCAGCGCGATTATCCGAAAAAGCAGAACCGCCAAGTGTCACAAGTTTAATATATGTAAATGAACATATCCTTGTCTCTGGTTCCGAGAACGCAAAGAGGTTGGGAAGGATTACCATGTTCTATTAATTATGTTATTGAACTAGTGTAAGGGTAGGAATCAAGACTTTATCTTCAAATGTAGGCTAGGAGAAACAATTAGAAGGTATTTTACATGTTCATGTTATCCACACATTCTTTCAGTGGTTTGCGACTGTGGGATACTCGAAGATTTTCTATAAAAGAGGAGGGCCACGTTTTATCTACCTTGGAAGTTCCTATAAGCAAGGATGCAGGTAAGTAACGTAAATACTAATATATTTGTTTTCCTATTCATACATAAGCTTCTCCATGAGTGTATTAGATTAGTATTTTCTTTTGAATGTGTATAAATTGTTGAGCTTACACGAAGTTGGTAAATAGATTTATCTCGGCTAACGTTTCGACGTGGAGCGTCAGCGTGCCATGCAGGAGGGCGTCACTGGGTAAGATTGCTTCATTCGGGAGATGCTTCATTAAAGAAGATTCAATTCTTTAGGAAGACGAAGACACCACATCGATAGTACGAACCACTGTGGACCCGGACCATGCTCTGATGAAGACGAAAACGTCGAAACGTCTGCCGAAATAAATATCTTTGTCAACTTCGTGTAGGCTCAACAATCTATGCACATGTCGATGATTTTATTACCGAAGGAGGTTAAGTGACGATTGGTTTGAAGATTTTTGTGCACTATTACGAATTTCAGGAATAACTAGTCTTTGTCTGGATCGGTATGGTAGTTCACTTTTTGCTGCAGTTACTGATAATTCCGTTTACGAATATGGCGTTCTCAGCAGTAATAGGGAACCAAGTTTGTTTTCTTCTGTTTCAATAGAGTGTCCTAAGTTACCAGTTGCTTATTAGTGAAGTTTCAGTTGTTCATTTGTTTATAAACACTTTCAGTTCGCCACTTTACTGGAGCAGCTATTGAATCATTCTATGTGCAAGTGTGTCTCTTTATCTTTGCGAAAGTTAACCGTTCGTAAGTTTATACCTCAATCTACTTAGGTCCAAGCTTCGCCTGTTAGTGATTTTTTGCTATGTGGATCTAAGAACAAGCACGCAGTCATGTGGGATCTACAAGTAAGTTTATTGCTACCAGTAAGGTTAAAAATTTAAGGTTAAGTTTCCATAATAGGTCAGATATAATGGTGATAATGGACGTGTGTGAGCAGTGGTCGGTCGCGCCCTGCTATACGCATGGGATCCCGCGCGCTTTGCCCATTAAGCCTTCTATCCCTCCGGGATCGGCAAATTGGTACTAGACTTGTCTGGTAAGATATCAGCACTGGCTCGATACATCGGTTGGCCATTGCGAGTCATTGTAAAGGCCAGATATGCATTTACTCACCTCCAACGATACTTAATGTAGTCGAATGCATGGTGCATCCCTAAGGGTTTGAGCAAAGCCGAGAGCTGTTTATTTTTATAATGGTGATTCGTATGTCGATGTGTTTTACACAATGTCTTCAATTTCTAGCCTTCTTTGGTAATATAGGACTTGTATTGTCACCGTGACGAATGTCTACGAACCATTGAACGACAGGATCGTGCTCTTCTTCCAAAATTCGTATTGGGCGGACATGATTCAGAGGTTTGCTGTGTTGGATGGAGTCGAACTGGAAAGTAAGAGATATTGAGCTCATTCTTTTGAATTTTTTATGGAAGTATAGTTTTTTTCTCCACGAAATGGCAATGTGTGAAAATGAAAACATTTCTAATGACGTTGTCCTGTACTCTGTAGTGCTTTAGGTACATCGTTTCAATGGATGATGAACATTTTCGGATCTGGAGCGCGGACAGGCTTGAAGAAAATTTCGAAATGCTGCCTTGTTCTAACAAAGAAACAATTACCGCTTACGAGCCCAGTGAATCTGAGAAAGCTGCACTCCGAGTCGATCGGTATGCGGAAAGTTACTAATTTTTGTGCGCAATTTTTAATACAAATGATTTCCGTTCTAGAGCAGCAATAAGCCACTGGCGAAATGACCAGACGCCGCGGTTGACTTCGACTATTACTTCATCTCGTAAAAGGAAGGAACATTTTACGAGTTCCACTAAAACTATTAACAGTCCCACGGAGTCACCCGTGTCAAAATTAACAAAGTGAGGTATTTTATTGTCCACACTACTACGAACGAACCACAGTTAACGATAACTTGTTTTGAGTTCTACTAGAGTATTTAAATGGGCGAGTGTGGCGCAGTGGTCGGAGGCACCCTGCAACACACACGTGGAGTCTATCCCAGCGCCCCTAGCCCACCAAGCTTTCCATCCTTCCGGAGTCGGCAAATTGGTACCAGACTCATCTGGTAGGACAGCAGCACTGGTGCGATACATCGGTAGGCCACCGTGAGTCATTGTAAAAGTCAGATATGCATTCAATCACCTCCGAACGATGCTTGATGAAATCGAGTGCATGGCGCATCTTCCAGGAATTGATCAACGCTGAGAGCTTTATCTTTTTCAACTTTTATAGAATTTAAATGTTCATTCGTTAAGAAATCTTCTGCTAGTTCAATCTATTCTAGGTTGGTATCACCGGTTCTGCCACTTTCCAACATTACAAATGTGGATCCTGGAACCCCAGGTTCGGATAATTTGCCAGCACCGTATTCAGGTAGCAAGAGCCTTAGAAGAGGAGCATTTCAGTACAGGTTTACGTTTTCCTTTCTCAGAATACTTTTGGTTTGTTGACACAAATATGAATAGTGTAGGTATCCAACGGAGAACTTGCCGAATAAGGTGTATGAGCGATTTGTTGCCAATTTCAAAGCGAAGCGCCTTGCAGAAACACAAGATTCTGGAAACGGATCTCCGGCTTTACATTCTCATAGTGTAAGATTTGAAAATAAATTTAAGATTGTTCATTTTGATGCTGAGATATTTGATGAACTCCGGACGCCAGGTGTTTGCGGTGAGGATTGAACAGACTATTACCCTTACCAGGAGCTCACGCGTTCACCACGACACTATACGCGCCATTTTTCTTTTCATTCACTTTGTTTTTTGAGTAGAAATCAGCAATTCAAGATCTAGGTTCGAAAAAAAGAGAACGAAAAGTTTTAAAATTCGAGAAGAGTTTTTCGTCGTAGAATCAAGCAAATTCACTCTATTACTTGCAGAGAATTAAGAGGAATATGGATGATTACTATCTAGCTGATAATTGTGATAATTCAAAGTCAGTAGAGATTGGAAAAAATACTCGGTCTGTTTCTTTTCTTTCACGGAAGGATTTCTTTTGTAGTCTAGTGGGAAAGCCTACCCTCTAAGTGTTTTTTTTGTCAGCGATTGTTCAATCTAATTCTTGATGTTGAGCACAGGCTACCAAGCGTCGTTGAATTTGGTGACTCAGTGTGCTCCAAGATGCTTTCTGAGCAGGACCGAGCATTGCAAAATTCTCCGCGAAAACTGACTGTAAAACTGACTCCTCTCAAAATTCGTCCTGTGTCACAATTACGAGGTAATTTTTATGGTACCATTTATAGATATAAAACTAGCCGATGGAGAGGCGAAACGAAGGACCCGCATGGTGTGGTGGTGAACGTGTTAGACCCTGGAAAGGGAATAGCGCATTGGTTCCCCACTGCAGACACCTGCGGTCCAGAGTTTTGCAAATATCTCAGCGTAATTGTGGTTCTATCACATGTAATACCCTGCCATGAAGAATTTAACAAGCAGTAAATAAAAAAGTGAAAGTTGTGATACCACTCCTATTATTTCTTCTTAAGATTATGGTTTTTATCATTTTCTAACGTTAATTGCTGAACTTTGAGCTGTGATCTTATTTGGTCATTATATTTTACGTCCTAGGCTGGCCTGCCGAACCTATGTAAGTTTAACAGAGACGTGGTGTTGCTTATTTATATCTCATGAGAAGGATACTTACTAAACGGTGTTAACTGTTCTTTAACAGGTATTATTTAAAATATGGGGAACGGGAGATAAAGAAGGAGTTTACAAATTTGCTCGGATAAAAGGGTATTTATGAACTTCTGGTCTTTTACCTTGCACAAAGTTAAAGCAGTGGAAGATCGTTACATGAAATGCAGCTGTTCTCGCCAGTTTCTTAACAGTGGGCATATTAGTTACGTTGTCAACGGACATAAAGGTCATTATTTTTCCTTTTTGGAAGTGCTGAAGGGGTTTGGTTTAACTGAATCGCATTCTTTAATAATATTGCGATGATAAATGATTTAAATCTTGACTTTAAACTCATTCACTTACCATGATTTATGTAATGGCTGTTCTGTGTTAAATATTAATGGTTTTAGCTTTAAACGATCACTATTACCTTACTTGGATACTTGGATGGCCCGTCTTAACTAGTTGTGCGAACCTCAGCATATTTTCCAATTTTTCGGAGTTTTGCTTGTCTAGACATTGTGGTTCCCTGGAATCCCGAGGTCAGCCTAGCCAAAGTCTGCCCCAGGTCTTCATCATCACAGAAAGTCGCACCTCTTGTGGATCAGAAGGAAATTTGCAGATTTGCTACCATGTGACTTTGATACCAGAACGGTGGTGGATCCTGGTATTGGTTTACTCTTAGCTACGCTTCCTGATGGAAACGGCGTACTCATTCTCATCTTGCTAGACCTTGCTGTGGGGATGAATCCCCATACCGTACATAGCAGCCCGACATCCAGGATCACCTCCCAGTCATGATGAGACAGTAAACCGTTAGGAGGCACTGTTACCGTGTTGTATAAAACATCGATGATTTAAATCTTGATTTTAAACCCTTTGTGTATAATTACTATTGCCTTATGTAAAGTGTCAATAAAGTTTTATTCTATAGAATATAAATGTTATTCAAAAACATTCAGGGCAAAGCTGTGGTAGCCAAAAGAAATCAAGTCGTAATCTCTTGGATTACTTCTCCAAAGGAGCGAAGGAAGATTCGTAAAGTAGGAAAATGGTTTTATCTATTGAAATATAGTGTGATGAAGGCTTTCTGTTCTTCCATTGCATTCTGTAGCAATTTATGCAAGTTCTATTCTGTTCTGAAGGTATGACACTTATGAACATTTGACAATGCTTTGCAAGTATTCTTCACTCACCATCTGATTCTTCTTTCAAATTTAGATAAGCTGGTTTTTCGCGTTGCCATATATTTCAGTAGGTTTATTCTTGAGGTTTTGAAACGAGGTTGTGGAGCTATATGGTTTTACTTCAGTTGTTGTAAAGCTCTTGTGCAATGTGTATTATCTAACACCTTTGTCTTTCTTGAATGGGAATTTTATAGTTTTCGTGTTAAATCTACCTTTGACATGAAGGCAATATTCTTTTATTAGCTTTCTAATCCATTAGCGTCGATGTTGACCTTTCCGAAACTACCAGTACTTTTTCGCTAACTGTTGTACTTATGGATTTGAGGGCTTGAAAAGCTTCTTTAAAAGATTTTATGCTATGGCTTTAGGAGTACAGACCGTCTTTCTGAGATATCACCTATATTTTGAGATTTTTAAGATTACTAAGTTTCTTAACATAAGCATCACAACCACAAACATCAGTGGAGCATTAAGGGATACCATCTTTTCATGACTTTCTTAACAAAATCACATTCATTCAGTCGTTTCGCTACCCGAAGTGTAATTACTGGTGAGAGAAAAAGATGCACCTAGGATATCTTATGAACTCTAAGAAGTTTCGCTTTCGTTTTGATACAACAAAAAGGCTTACTTTTTGTTGGTTAAAGTCCATAGGTTCTAATGTTTATGGTTTTGATTTGTAAAGTTTAGTGGGTACTGGGTTACGTTTGCTTAAATTGGGAAGGTTAATTTATTTAAAGCTCCATATGATTTGCAACCGTTTTCGAAAGCACGTGTTAAAATTAGTAGTAGGCCTAACTCTCACGATTTAACTTTGTAACCGTCGATAAAATAAATCTAATCTGGTCTATGACCATATTTGTACGGGATAATTCAGCAAACAAGTGATTTTCTTCGTATTTTTGTTGAGCAAACGCGAGGTGTTACTATTCTTTGTTCACGATTAAGCTGACGTTTCGGCGGATTTCGCCTTCTTCAGAGCCTGGAAAGGTCAAGTTGATAGCAACTCACCCGGCCAGACGCCTCCATAACCAAACAAAGAAACTCCAAACCAAGATTTCAATCACTTTGAACACAGCTCTGCACAGTCACCGCTTTCTATGAGGTTTCCACTAAGTATGTCACGTAGAGACCAACCGCACAGAAATCACGTGGAAGTATAATGTGCCCCTCACATCAGAAAAGCAGTTTTATATACTGCCCTATATCACGCGTGATAATGAGGCATTCTTCCCTGCGGTTCATTTTCGGATTTCTGGAATTAATCCAGAGTGCCTCGAGAGTTTTTCGCGCCTGTGTTCTTGATTCGCGTGCGAGGATCGTGACACATACTTCGAAGTCGTCCCCGTTATGTCTCTGGGTCCTATGCGTGCCTAGCGGG